CTGTTCTATTCAATATTATATTGGAAGTCTTAGTGATAAGCAATAAGACAAGAGAAGGAAATAAGAGGTATCCAAATTGGCAACGAAAAGGTAAAATTCTCTCTATATGCAGATGATAAGATAGTATATTTCAAAAACTCTAACTCAGCAAGAAAACTACTGGACCTATAGTTGACCAATTCAGCAAAGTGACAGGATACAAGACCAACATACAAAAATCAATTGGATTTCTCTACAGTGACAAAGAGAATACAAAACTGGAGCTAAGAAAAACTATAGTCATTACAATAACTAATCACAAGATTAAATTCTAGGGACTAATTCTAAGTAAAAACAGAAAAACCTCTTCAAAGAAAATTACAAAGCAGTACTACAAGAAACAAAAATACACCTAGAGAAATGAAAGACCATACCTTACTCTTGGATAAGAAGACTCAATATTGTGAAAATGGCAAAACTACCAAAGGCAATGCAATCCTAATACAAATACAATTCCATTCTTTAATGAGACGGAAAAGGCAATCTCCAATTTCCTTTGGAATGGAAAGAGGCAATAAACAAAGCACTCCTTAAAAAAGAAACAAGGTAGAAAACATCTCACTCCCTGATGTCAAATCCTACTACACTGCCATAGTGGTCAAGATAGCATGGTACTAGTACAATAGACACACAGATCAATGGAATACAACTGAGAACCCAGAAATCAGCCCATCTACCTGATTTTTGACAAGGAGATGAAATTACTTAAGTGGGGAAACGACAGTCTTTTTAACAAATAGTGTTAGTAAAAGAGGAAAACTATGTGCAGAAAACTCAAAGACGACCCACACATAACCCCATACACAAAAACCAACTCAAAGTGGATCAAGGACCTAGGACTAAAACCAAGGACTATAAACTTCATTACCAAAAAGCTTGGAAGAACTCTAGAAGCCCTAATCCACAACATGAACAGTCTTCCAAGTATCCCGAAAAACCTACAACCAGGAGAGGATAAAATAGACGAATGGGACCATCTAAGAATCAAATCCCTATGCACATCCAAAAACTTCTTCAACATAGTGAAAAGAGAAGCCACAGACTGGGAATATTTGGAAATGACATGTCTGATAAGGGACTTATATCTAGGATTTATAGAATACTCGAGCACCACAACAAGATAAATTACCCACTTGAAAAATGGGCACAGGATATGAACAGACATTTCACCAAAGAAGATATTCAGATGGCAAACAAACACATGAAGAAATGTTCAAAATCCCTAGCTCTAAGAGATGCAAATCAAAACAAATAGGATATATCATCTCACCCCAGTAACAATAGCAAAATTCATCAAAGCGGCAAACAACAAATGCTAGTGAGGTTGTGGAGAAACTAGAACCTTTATTCACTGTTGGTAGGAGTGTAAAATGGTGCAACTACTATGGAAGGCAGTATGGCGCTTTCTCAAAAAGTTGCAAATAGAAATATAATTTGACCCAGCCATTCCACTACTGGGAATATACTCTAAAGAAACCAGAACTACCCAATCACTGAGCCACTGCCGAGGACTCAGCTGCCTCCCCCTCAAGCCCCCTCGCTTCCCGACGCTCTGTCCCCACTGCCCGCCTTCTCCCGCCACCGCCTTCCGCAGGCCATTTCCACCGAGGAAAAGGAATCGTATCGTATGTCTGCTATCCAGAACCTCCACTCTTTCAACCCCTTTGCTGATGCAAGTAAGGGTGATGTGGGACTGAGGATTATATCCATATAAAAATTCAACAGAGAAACAACGGCAGGAAGACCCTTACAACTGTCCAAGGAATCGCTGATGATTACAATAAAAAGAAACTAGTGAAGGCGTTTAAGAAGAAGTTTGCCTGCAATGGTACTGTAATTGAGCATCCAGAATATGGAGAAGTAATTCAGCTACAGGGTGACCAACACAAGAACATATGCCAGTTCCTTGTAGAGATTGGACTGGCTAAGGATGACCAGCTGAAGGTTCATGGGTTTTAAGTGCTTGTGGCTCACTGAAACTTAAGTGAGGATTTCCTTGCAAGGAGTAGAAAATTTCCCTTCTGTCCCTTGTCACAACTTTAAAACTTCACAGATTGTATAATGTAACCATTTAGGGTCCACTTTTAACTTGGACTAGTGTAACACTTTCATACAATAAACTGAAAAGAGCCATGCTGTCTAGTCTGGAAGGCCCTCATTTAAATGGAGGTCAAGCAGTAGACACCTGACAGTGCCCCGCCTGAAACAAAGCAATAACGTGATGTTTCAGGCCAACTCAGATCCCCAAGATCGTAGATGGCTATGTCTAGACCAAAATGCCCCTACTCCAAAAGAAGGTCAACCCAGCACCTGAGCACCCCTAGATGGAGCTGAGAAGAGGATGGGGTAAGGCTGCTGTACCACTAGAAGGAGCTGTGGTAACAAAAGAAAGATTATTGGTGTCTTCAGCCCAGCAAAGCAGGCAGAGCATAGGAGTGAGATGGGACATCTATCTCCCACCAAGGTCTTAGTTCTTTCTGACCAGACATAATCCTGAAGCCTTGTCTGTCCCAGAAAACACCAGGATGTGAGGTAAACTTCAGAGTTAAACTTTTGACAAGGGAACAAGCTGACGTATCAGTCCTAGCTAGCTGTAGAGCTTGCAGCTTGATAGCAACAGCAGCCCAATGCCCTGTGAAAGAACAACTGGTTCTCCCCCCACCATCCTTTACAGTTTTAATGTTATGTAATGTATTTAAACTTATTTAAATAAAACTTGTTTTCAGGGAAAAAAAAAGAAAGAAACCAGAACTGCCACCCAAGTAGATATATGTACATCTATGTTCATTGTGGTTTTGTTCACAATAGCAAAGAGTTGGAAACAACCCAAGTGCCCATCAACAAACAAATGGATAGAGAAGCTCTGGTATATTCACACAATGGAATACTATGATACACTGGAAAACAAGGAATTCATGAAATATTATACTAAATGGTGACCCTGGAGGACATTGTGCTGAGTGAAATATCTCAGTCACAAAAGGAGAAATATTGCACAATGCCACTGTTGTAAGACGGGACTGACATTGGGGTTGGGGGGAAATGAAGAACAGAAGGGGGAGAGAACTGTTTAAAAGGAATATACAATTAGGTATTATTTGCATAACAAGAGTCCAGAATAAGACCTGCATAATAAAGTGGACTGGCGGTGGGGTCTATAACAATGAAAGATTTTTTCTTTTTTTCTTTTCAAAGAGAAAAGCAAACTGGGGGAGGGGTGGGCATGGAGGAAAATGTGCAACAATGAATGGATGGAAATCCAAAGTCTCTGTAAATGTTCATTAAAATCTCAATATAAAAAAGACAGATTGACACAATGACACATAACAATGGGGATGACACACTATAGGACAGGGCTCAGATCTGTCATTCACAGAGTCACTATGATAGGTGATGACACATAGCCACCACCACCACCTCCTGAAAACACTCCATCCTCCTATCCCACCCCCAGGACCCAATGACAGGGAGACAGCACTCCGTTCTCACTGCACACATATTCAGGGAATGGCTCTCTTGGAATCATTGGAGGTGACAGAGATGGTGCACAGAAGAGGGAGATTATGGGTCTGGCTCTTCCACTTTCTAGCCTACTGTGACCTTAGGCAGGACACACAACCTCTCTGAGCCTCAGACTTCCCAGCTAAGTGGTAGGAATGTGTGTCTGTCATAGGGTGTTCCTCCTCATACATGCTGCTTCAGGGCTAGTGTCTTGAATACCTCCTCTTCTTGCTATTTGGCTTAAGAACATGTGGAAATCCTGATAAGGTTTACACTTGAAGTAAAAAGTCTCAATGCTTAAAACAAAACTGAAAGCCTGTGATTTGGAGGGAATTTAATGGAGGCATCATCATGAGATAAATAAACAAAGCCCAAACAGGATTAATTCAATTCTCTCTTATCAGATGATTAGGGCTGGGCACAGCCTGAGTCCCATCCACAGCCACCTTGAATTCTCTTCCACACTAGAACCACAGAGCCTCCATGCAAATGCATCAGTTGCTGTGCTGTCCTGATCAGTCCAAGTTCAAGTGTTTCAAATCAAACAGGATGCCATCCCCTGGGTCCCATGCCACGATCAGGCCAGAGTTGGGCAGTACAGTCCACTAATGGTCAGATGAATGCATGATGTAGCAGAGGATGATGCATCTCCCTGTACTGAGCATGCTGCCTCTGTTAATGCAACCTATGACAAATCCATGTCCCAGCCATGAGGAGTCTGAATCCCATTTATGCTGCCATCTCCTACCTCTGACTTACTTCTGGTTTTGCAGTCATATCTTGTCACAACTGCTGGTTTTTAAGCCCTTTTACTTTTACTCCAAGCCTTGTGCTTAAGAGTAAAACAGAAGGACTCTTTGAGAGCCACAGTGAGTTTTCAAATTACAGTCTGGCTTGGTCCCAAATGCCCCCCAATCACAGTGGCGATCAAGGACCTTCCTAAGGTGAAGGCTCCATCTTGTTTGCAGTAGAGTGAGGCTTCTGCAGAGAAGCAACCCTAGGAGCCCTGGACCCTGCAGAGTCACTGAGGCCAACATTCCACCACAGACACCCTTAGCCTAGAACTAGAGTGGGATGTTCCTCATGCTATTCTAAAGGCACTTGGAAAGTGGTGGCTCATATGTTTCTTTGCTAATTAAAAGGTTGGCAGTTCAGATCTTCCAGCTGCTCCATAAAAGAAAGACAGGCAGTCACCTCTCATTAAGATTTAATGGCACAGAAATCCAATGAAAAGGTGCTATGAGTTGGAATAAACTTGATAGTAATGAATCTAGGCTTGATGTTTGGCCATCTCCCCAGAGCCCAACTGGCAGAAAACTCCATGGCTCCACAGGTGCCCAGTAGACCATGGCCTGCCCTCAGTGTACCCTTCTCTCCACACTCAAGCCCTCCTGAGCCCATGAGCCATCTCTGCCTGGGTGCCCAGTGTGGCCTAGTCATGGGAAGTCACAGAGGTTTACCTGTTAGGGTTGTACTCGAGCGCACCAACCTCCTCACTGGCCTGCAGTAGGTCCAGGATGCCCACTGCTGAGTTCCCACTCTCCTTCTTGGATTTTAGGTTACGGCTGGGCTTGGCATCCGTGTCAATGTGCAGAGAATCCTCATCAGAGGAGTCATCACTCGCCTGCAGAGGCCACAAAAAAGGACCAACCAACCAGGTAAGAGACAGAGCCAACTCACAGGAGGGGTTTTAGGCAGGGGAGAGACTCAGTCCCTTCATGGAGAAGATGGTATTAGTCATTCAGCCTATGCTGACTAAGCTAGTAGTCCAGCAGGGTGACCAGCAGACGAGGCCAGGACAGACAGATGCAGCCATAGTGAAGGCCAAGATACCTTTATTGCTCATGGTAGAAGAATCCTGGATTCAAAACACTCTCACACTTACATTGTTTGCTGCTGTTAACTGCTAGCCTATTGGCCCAACCTCGCCCATCCCCATGAACCCTGTGTTTTCCTAGGCTGCTTTTTAGAATCTGAGGCCTGTCTTCCAAGTCCACTTGACTTCGTCTAGAAGCTCCACTGAAATCTGTTGGGCATTGTTCTAAAATGTCATGCATGAGGTGCACAGTCCCAGCATTTAAAACAAGAAAATCTCCTGGGGCAATTGAGGAACAAGCAGGGTCCTCAAAAGTCCCTGAAGAGCTCCAAGTTCTAGGGACCCTCATTTGATAATCACCTTCTAGACAGTCACCTCCTAGAACTTAACATCCGTTCTAGAACACTGCAGTGATCCTGCTGGGAAACTTTCCTCAGAGCTCCCCAGGAAGTGCAACTCCCACCAAGTGAAGGATATCTTTATCCTGGCCTCCAAGTAGAAATTGTTAAAAGCTGTCCCCTATTCCTCTAACGCAGGGCTTCCCTCTCACCCCCATCCTGTGGGTGTGAGTTTGTGCTGCATTCATCATCTCTACTGTGGCCCCTCTGTGTCACAATAACAGGATGGCCTCTCAGGAGCCTCCAGGGTGAGACACAGACTTACAGTGCTGCTCCACAGGTGCCCACCCATCACTGGTACACCAAGGACCATGATGGTCACAATCTGTAAAGATACAGGCTTGTGGACCACATCTCAAATCTAGGTGCCACAGCCCTTCCCACTGACAGATGAGCAAGAAAGAGGACACCCTCTCCTCCTCCATCCACAGAACACCCAATCATAGACCCTCAACAGGCTGAGGCCATAAGCCTGAGAAAGATGGGGAACAATGCCTGAGGGTCTGCTCCCAACAGGGCCACACACACAACTGGGCAAGAACTCACCTTGTAAAACACTGAGTCGAGTTTTGGCTTCTTAATGGGTGCATGAAGCATTTCTTTCTTATCCAATAAAACTGAAATAAGAGCAAACAGAAACCTAGTGGTGCTGCTGAAGAGAACACAGGGTGTTCTAGCTGATGCAGCCACACCTGGCCTAGAATCCCAGGCCCCAGGGCTGGGCACACTCACAGGATAAGTCCCTCTTAGAAGTGCTCCTCTTCCTCCTGATAGGAAACTCATCAATCTTGAGCTCCCCATCGTCTGACACATATTCATACTCGTCCCGCACAGGCTTGGACTTGTCCTCCTTCAGGTTCTGCAGGGCCCCGAAAACACTGGGGCTCGTCTGAGGCTTGAAGCCCTTGGAGCTGGGACAGCAAAGGTCATCAGAAGTCAGGCTAGTGTCCAAGCTAGTGACCCCACCTGACCTGGCTCAACCAACCCTCAGGGCAGGGGGCAGTCATAGAGAAGCAGGGCAGGACTGGAACCCCTCCCTTAGGGCCTCTCTCTAATGCTTCCACCCAGGAGAGGATAGGACACACTGCTGGCAGAGACTACTTGTGCAGGCCCAGAGCCTGAGCAAGGGCTCCCAGACCAAACAGAACCAGTGCAATATGTGTGAGTTTTTCTGCCTGGCTTTTGTGGGAAAACAAATGCTGGGCCACAGTGGGGATGGCACTCCCTAGCAAGGAGTAGGGTCATCAGGAACCAGGGTCACTCAAGCCCCTCCGGTGCTCATCAGCAGCCCAAGAGCAACTCCTTAGTAGAGAGGCTGACTTTTCAATAGGTAGAAGGTCCCCCAGAAGCATCTGGAATTTCAAATGGGTGCAGCTCCCATTCTGAACAAGCAGAAATTCAGAGCACAGTCTGAGAGTGCCAGGCTGGTTGCCTCCAATGTTGACGAGCAGGGGCAAGCGGGGCTGTGCTACATGAGAGACAAATATACATTCATGGCTACAAACACATTTCTGCAGCACAAGATGCAGCTGACACAGTTTACAGGCTTGCCAGGATCTAGACTCTGAGATCCAGCAACATCCAGTAGCAGGTGTACGACTGTGAATCAGGGTACTGGGACAGCTAACTGCTGAGGCTGTGCAGGTGAGTGAGGCACACTTTTCATCACTATCTAGGACATATTGCCCCTCCCATCTTACAGATGAGGACACTGAAAAACCCATCCGCATCCACTACAGAAAGGGGCTGGCACCTAGTCCTACAACACGGCTGATCCCTGCTGTCTGTGACATGCAGGCCACCCACTGGCCCAGTGGCTTGATGACTGCTCAGCCGGGTCAGCAGTTCTGCATCCCTGTCTGATAGTGGAACTAGACTTTTTAACAAATGAGAACCTGTGCTCACCCTACAGATGCTCGGTCTACCACTTGTCAGCCTTCAATAACCCCTCATGCTCTAAGGCTACTAGTGGCTTCCCCAGCTCTGCTGAGCTTCTAGCCCCTCAACCAAGCATAGGTCCCTACAGGCTGAGTACCCACCAGCCCAAGCTGGCACACATTCCCCTTTGCCAGCTGACCCCACATCCTGACTCTCAGTGCTTTACCACCTTCTCTCAGAAAGCCTTCTGGGCTCCTAGACGGGTCAGACTGTGGCCTCCACAGTGCCCACCACTGTCATCACCCCTCTTCACCAGCACAGGACTCCCTCCACCCTGACCAGTGTTCTCTCAAGTATAGGAGAACTTTACCCATGCTTGCCCCTCTCTGCCCAGGGTCCCCTCAGTGTATTCATGTTCACGCCCACACTGTGAGCACAGAGCTACATAGGTCCAATCTCTGTGTCCAAGATGAAGTAAAGGGCCTCCTCCAGGAGTGTCCTTGACTCGTGAATTGGGTCCAGCTGGGGGCTCCACAGATATATATACCAAGATGCGACTAGGGGGTGGGGAGAAGGATTGTCGGTGAGTGGGATCTAGGTGAGGGTGTTCAGGTGCCTGTGGCAGGTGTGTGAAGTGTGCGAGGCATGTGTGTGTGGTAAACAGGTACGTGTGATGTGTCCGCAGTGTTTCCATGGATGGTGTGGAGTGTGACAGGCATCACAGGCATGTATATGCTGTGCATACATAGAGTGATGGTGGTATGTACGTGAGGGATGATTTGCACAAGTGTGGAGGATTCGTGTGAGTGGTGTGAGCACAGGTGTGCTATGTGGTGGGCACATGCATTTATGCACAACAGGAATTTCTTACTACATTTCAGCACACACATTTACATACCCCAATAATTTCTTATTAGAAAAGGAGAATGAGAACTTGTTGTCTTTGTTTCCCACCGGAGGCGACTTCTCCAGTTTCTGCTCTTCCTCCATTTTCAGCAAGGAGTCTGGTTTGCTGTTCTGAAAGACAAGACCATGAATGTTACTGAGTCGCACACAGCAGCAGGGGTTGGGGCCTGAGCAGCAGCTCAGAAAACCACCAGAAGAGGCACAGCTTGAGGCCAGGACTGGGCAGAGTCCAGACCAAGGGTCCACCCCACGGATCTACATGGAGCTGCAGGAAAGCACACTTCAGAAGTGGTCCTCACATCTACCAGACATCCACAGCCTGGTGCCCACCATGAGTCAGGGCCCACTGTTCAGCACTCCATGAGTCACAAGACAGGTGCCACTGACTTATAGAAAGCGGCACATACGACATGTGAATGCCCTAATGAGTTCCTGCTGACCATCTGACAAGTAGTCACTGAGGATAGAGGCCTGGACTTGCCTGGCCCCAGCACACACACAGAGACCACATTATGTGTGTGTGGCATTGACATGCAGGCCGTACACACCATGCCACACATGCCTGTTTTCCCCACACATCTGCACATGAGCACACACTCACACACACACGCCACCTTATACTTCCACTTGGCCTCCGACTTGCTCTTGGTTTGCTCTCGGATTTCCAACCTGTCCATGCTGTTTTGCTTATTAGCCACATCCTTGCTGGGCACATTAAGAACATTCTTTGCAGCCTAGAGAACAGAAAAGCCATCATACAGTAGTGGACAGACATATGGTTTGCTCAATCTAGCCCAAGTCCTGACTCTACCACCCCACACCCCAGACTCTTGACCTCATCACCTTACACCTAAATCCTGAGCCCATCACCCACACTTCCTGTCACCCCACACTCCAGAGTCCTGATCCCCATCAGCCCAGAGACCTGACCCATCACTCAACATCTGAGAGTTCTAACCTTCATCATTCAGAGAGCTGACCGCCATCAACTCACACCCCAGAGTCCTAACCTCCATTAACCTACACCCCAGAGCCCGGACTTCCATCATCCACATTCCAGAGTGCTGACCGCACTGCCTATAGCTAGAGTGACCCACATCACCTCACACCCTCAAGTCCTGATCTCCATTACCCTACACCCCAGAGTCTTGACTCCCCTCACCCACACTCCAGAATCCTGACCCATTCAGTCCTGATCACCATCACTCCACACACCAGATTCCTGACCTCCTCACCCCACACCCCAGAGTTCTGAACCTAATTACCCACTTGAGTTCTGACCCCATCTTCCAACAGAATCCTCCCCACCATTACCCCATACTGCAGTCCTGACCCTTATAACTCCAGATTCACAAAGTACTGACCCAAATCACCCCATAGTCCAAGCCTGACCTCCATGACTCCAGACCACAGAGTACTGACCCCATCACACCTTAAGCCAGTCCTGGCCCCAGTGACTGTAGTGTCCTCAGCTGTACTACTCACCTCAAGGCTGCAGACTACCCCTCTCTCACTCACCATGCCCTGTCCCTAAGGCTGAAGAAACTGGGAGTTCTGTGCATACTGCAGACCTCCCTGTGAGACAGGGTGCCAGCCAGCCCCCAGTAGGAGCTGGCCTTCCTCTCCTCTTCCTCACCCGTCTCCATTAGCTCAGCCCCAAGGGTCCTGCACAGACATGCTATTTCTCCCCAAACTGAGTCGTCCCTCCCAGAAGACCATTACCCGCACACCCTCCTCCATCAACCTCAACCCTGGTAGGTCACTTTGTAATGAGATCACTCTTTTCAGTACCCATTGCCCTGAAGCCTGCTGAGGCCAGAATGGGCTGCCCCATGCCGGCTTTCATCCAGTTGTGTACAGAGCCCCAAGCACTGCCCCCACATCTCCCAAAGGCCCTCAGCCCACAGCTTGCTCCAGTGGGCTGCCCACCTCCTTCTTAGCCAGGGGCACTCACCTTGCCCTTCTTGGGTGTCTCAATCTTCGTCAGTGCCTCCTTGGTGTGTGCCTCCAGCAGGTCCAGATTGGGGATTGTGGGGGACCCTGTCTCTTTGCACTTCTTCCCCTTCTTCTTGCTGCTGTCAATCCTCAGTGTTTTGGGGGGCTTAGGGATTTTTGAGGGCTTGGAGATTTTGGATGGCTTGGGCATCTTCACAGTTTTGGGAGTCTTTTTTTTGAACCCTTTTTCAAGAAGGGACTGAGATGGAGTGGTCTCAATGGGAGACAGTGGCTCTTCCTTCCCTTTATCCATGTCACAGACCTCATCAGAAGATATCACAGCGTTTACTTCTGGTTGGGTGGCTTTGGAGGCATTCTAGGGTATGGGAAGAAGTCAGCCTCTCCCTTCCCACCTCCTCTGCCTGGTGCCAGGCACAGATCCATCCACCCCTACAGTATCCCACCACTGCACTCAGGAGACCCCATCCAGGGGCATGAGGCTGTTCTGAGCTGGTCACACTGGGACAGGCAACCAGACCCCCTCCTCCCACACCCAGGCACACAACTGGGAAGGGCCCTACCTCACTGAGTCTGATCTCTTTGGCAAGGTCTTTGATGAGCTGTGAAGGCTTGAAGTGCTCTGGGAGCTCATCCTCATGTTCTGCCAAAGCCTAGAACATAGCTGTCACAGTGAGTCCCTGCCAGACCACCCCTTGCCCTCCCATGGGGACCTATGACTCCAGACCCAGGTGTCCACTGAAGCAGTGGCTCAGGAAAGCCCTCACAGAGCATGCTAATTCTTAAACAGGCCTGAAGCAAGCACTCTTCTCACCATCCAGATGTGAAAATGGAGCCCAGAGATCCAGTAAGCAGCCAGGCCACACAGGTGCAGTCCTGAGAACCAGCCCAAGGCCTGTATTTCAGGGCCTTGGCAGGGTCTGGCCTTGCTGGGCTACATGTAGCCAAAGTCCAGGCAAGCTCAAGACACAATGGAGACCTTGGTTGAAGACAGTATGGCCTTCCTGTCTCCTCAATGGAAAGTGTCCTTATCCCAACTGCCAGCAGGGGCTGGACTGCCTCATGTGGAGCTCACTGCACCTGGTCCTCTCAGCTAGACACTGTTTCCCACAAGAAGGAGCAACTGTGCTCTTCATTCTATATGGTGAGAAACCTAGACCAGGGGTGTCCAAAGCTCACAGAGCTCCTCAGAAAACTGTGCAACAGAAGCCAGCCCTCTTCTTCCTGGGCATGAGCTCACCCCACCAAGTTACGTGGCCAAGATCAGATGGTAGGACACCTGGGCCATTCCAGACCTTGGGACCTGAATAGAAATGGTGGCTGCAGTCACAATGGTCATAGAGAATTGCTTCACACTCCACAAACCCAGAAGGGCAGCCAGGTACTTCACTGGATGGTGTTCCCCACTCAAAGGGCGGGCATAAATCCTGAGCCGCTGCTGGTCAAGGAAACCCAGATCCAGTGGAAAGACTGATGGATTCCTGGTGCAAAGGGGTCTTTGCCACCTGTCCCACAGCACCACATGCAACCACACATTCCTCACTTATTGGAATGGCTGGCTACCCCAGCCTCGCAGCTCCTCTGCCATCCCTCTATGCCCTAAGGTGGTGCTTCACCTACCTGTTTCTTAGTCCATGATCTGAAAGCACCATTAAGAATTTTAGCTCCTTGGACTAAATGAGGAGGCAATTGCTTCCCAGATTTGTGAGAACCTGAAAGACAAATGGATGACCTTGGGGGTCCTGCCCACCTTCCCAGCAGCTACCACCACCCCAGGGCATCAGCAGCCAGGTCTTCACCCATAAGGGCAGCCCAACTGTCAACGGTTCCTCTTAGAACCTGGAGGACCTATGTCCTGAATGCTGAGGTAGCTTCTCACGCTGTTGACCATCAATGGCTTGGTCACCAAGCTCCTGGTCTGTGCCTGACCTGCTACCTCAGCTTAAGACCTCTTCTCAGGCAACCACAGGCCCTGGTTTGACAGCCACATGCTTACAGGCATAACTTATTCCACCTTCAGAATAGTCTAAAGGTAGGCCTGTGACTCCCTCTCCAAGCCACAGAGGTCAGGATTATCCAAGATGGGAGAGCAGTCAGCAAGCACCTGCAGGGGCTCCAACATGGACTCTGACCTCTGCAGCCCTATGCTAACCCCACTCATCCTGACACCCTCTCCTGAGACAAGACTGTCAACCTCATGGAAAGTTACTGCTGTCAACTCTGCTAGAGCTGACTCTAGTTAAAAAGAGTTCAACCAACCACTTGGAGCCACTTGGCAGGAAAGCAGCTTTCATTTGCTTGAGCCTGGGGCCACTGGCTCCATCTACCTGGTCCTCCTCCTGCTCCCACCTGGTCCTCCTCCTGCCCCCACTTGACCCTCCTCTTGCTCCCACCTGACCCTCCTCCTACTCCCACCTGGCCCTCCTCCTGCCACCACCTGGTCCTTCTCTTGCCCCTGCCTTGACCCTCCTCCTAACCCTACTTGGCCCTCTAATGCCTCTCCACAGCAGATCCTGCTCCGCTTTTGTGGGACCCCTTTCACCAAGGTCCCAGCTAAGGGCTTTCAATTTTGGGGAAAGGTTGATAAAACACAGCCAACAGAAACTAAGGAATGCTTAGAACCCTTTCAAGAGTCAAAATGAAGAGTTCCTAAGAAAAAGTACCATTTTCCTGATAAAAGCAACTTTCTGGGACAGTCATCACTGGGGGAAAAATCTTAAATCAAAGTAAAAATCCTCCTCTACATGGTTTCCCTCACACTGCTGCAGGAAGGGTAAAGACTTAAGCAGAACGGGGCAGCTTAGCAAGGCCTCTGAAGCCAGAGGCTGGTGAGCATGACTAGGGATGGAGGGCAGGGCTGCAGCCCTCCTCACTTGTGACGCGGAGAAGCTCAGCGCATACACACACCTTAGACATGTGTGGACATGTGCTTATGCCAGACATGCAAGCATCTCTTTCCAACAGTATGCATGTATGCATTATGTGTGCACCTCCCAGTCAGCCTGCACATGCCACAAAGTGAACATGTGAGTATATGTGTGTCTACACCCTACAGACTCACACACACCACACGCACAGACACATGGCTCATGCACCTCTGAAGGCCTCGAGCAGGGGCTTTCCACAATTCACATGCACATGTACACACGACTGATATTACCTCTGGAGGCCTTGAGCAGGTGTTGTCCACAATTCACAACTTGTGCACACCACATGGCTGATGCACCTCTGAAGGCCAGGAGCACAGTCACACACATGTGCACATCTGCACACCCACAACCACACACACACACACAGCTGATGCACCTCTGAAGACCTTAACAGGGGCCGTCCACAATTCACACACATGTGCATGTATACACACACAAACGCCCCTGATGTGACCTCTGAAGGCCTTAACGGGCTTTCCACAATTCACACACATGCACCGATGAACACATGCCTGATGTTACCTTTGAAGGCCTCTAGCAGGTGCTTTCCCATGTACCAGCAGGCGGTTTCAAAGTTTGGAAATTGAGTCAGGCTGCCAAGTTTCAACCTTCTCTCCACTTCATACGCTCTGAAAGGCACAGCAAAGTATACTTTAGTGCACCGAGATCCATCCTGGCCGATTAGAGAACTGGCCTGCCCCAGGCTGCAAGCTTCCCACCAGCACTCTGTGTGGTGAGAGGTTGTGAGTCCCCAGGAGTGGATAAGGAGGCTGTCTTTCCTAGAGGGGAGACTCCGCACTTTGGAAAAGAGAGGCGCCCAACCTTCCAAGGGCCCCAAAATCCCAGAATTGAACCTGGACAATTCCAAATCCAGGCTCCTGTAGTAGCCTCTCATAAGGATGGGAGTGTCCCTCCTCCTTCCCCCATGCACACAAGGAGGCCTTGGACTAAGGGGCTGTCCCAAGGCCATCATGTGGGGCGGGGCGGGGCGTGGGTGCAGGTGCCCATCACACTGACCCAGCGGGGACCTGCCAGCAGAGCCCAGGAAGCAGGCGCGGCACTGGCTGCACTACCTCATCTGCGTCTCCACACTGAGGCTGTGGAGGAAATGTCCCGCAAAGGCCAGGCAGTCCACAGGTGTGAGGGTGGCGTAGATCCAGCCTAGGAGACAGACACCACTAGGCCCCAGTGTTCTTGATGAGCCTTGACTCCACTCTACCCTCCATGTGTGTGGAGCTGACCCTTCGGGCAGCAGAAGCCCCCAGGAGCATGCACAGACTGATCAGTCCGGCTCCTGGGCGCAAAGACAATGAGGCCCAAGAGGGAAGAGATTAGGGAACCAGTCCTATCCCAGACCTCCTATGCCCTAGTGTCATGGGCCCCAGGTCCCTGGGTTCTCCTCAAGGGCCTAGGCCCAGGGCCATTCAGCTCTTCAAGGAAACAACAGGGACTCTGGGGTGGGGGGGGTGGGGAGTGGGACAGAGGAGAGAAAGGGGGGACCATCAGAAACCTAAAGACTCAAGACCTCAATTTAAAATGGGGAGTGCACCAGGGTGAGAAAGTCTGAGGGACTGCTAGTCCTGTTCCCTTTTAAAGAATGACTAACAATATGCTGTTCCATTAAATAAGAAGCCATTGGGAGACAGGCAGTGAAGCTGTGGATAAAACACTGCAATGTCAAATTTACCACAGTGCCATCGAGGGGTAGTGGGAGATGGGTATAGGAAGCTTCTACCACATGTAGCCATGTTCCTCCCCCTGGGTGTCTCTGGAAAGTCCTGAACAAATATCCCTACAGTGGCCCCACTCTACTCTCTCCTGTAGGTCTCCTGCAGGCCCACAGGGGTGTGGATAGGAATGTGCCTACTTAAGGCAGAGCAGGGCCGCCCAGGCCTCCTGAGAAGCAGGTTCTGGGCATTACCAGACTGCTGTGGTGGCTTCAGTAGAGTCCCAGTGGGGCCCAAGCAGTCAGGGGCCAGCAAGGCCTCTTTCTCAGGGCACAAGAGAAAGGAGCCAAGGCACAGGGAAGGGACATCACAGGCCACAGAGGCCTCACAATGTAAGAAAACCAAAAAAGCTGCAGATGAGCAGGCGGAGAGGGCTAGATGTCCCACCTGACGGGATGAACAGTGTTTGGCCCTGCTTGAGGGTGCACTTGTAGCATTTGTCCACCTGGTCCGCAAAGAACATCTCACTGTGGTTGGAGGCTGACTGCCAGCGCTCGTAGAGGGAGAGATTGGCTGATGCTGGCTTGATGAGATAAAAGATCTTCTCCCCCTGTGAAAAAAGGACAGGCCACACCACACTCAGGAAGTTACCCTACACCACGCATGCTGGAAAGGTTGCTGGATGCTGACTCTCCATGCCTGGGGCCCGGGGCGCAGCACCAACATTCACTTGGCTCACTCATCCTGGCCCTTAGTCCTCACACGAGTGCCCCAGCACTCTGTCCTCATACACGTCCAGGTCCTTAATCCTCACACACTCATCCCGGCCCTCTGTCCTCACACACTCTTCCTGGTCTTTAGTCCTCACACATTCTTCTTTGTCCTTTTCCTCAGGCATGCAAATCCTTATCCTTAGTCCTCATATATACATCCTGGCCCTCAATCCTCACACACTCACCTTGGTCCTCGGTCCTTGCATGCTCATCTTTGTTCCTAATCCTCACTAGTCTTTGTCCTCAGTTATCACACACACACACATCTTGGTCCCTAGTACTGGCATGCATGTCCCATTCTGGTCCTTAGTCCTCACAACTGCATCCTAGTCCTTAGCTCTTGCACATTCATCCCAACCCTTAGTCTTCACATGCATGACCCAGCCCTCAGTCCCTGCACATTCATCCCTCCCTCAGTCCTCACATATGTGTTCCTGTCTTCAGTCCTCACATGCTCCTCTTGGTTCTTAGCCTCACAACGCGAACCAGCCCTCAGTTCTCAAACATGCGTCTCAGACATTAGTCCTCACATGTGTGTCCTGGCCCTCCGTCCTTGCACACCCATCCTTTGCCCTCAGTCCACGCACACTCATCCCAGTTCTTAGTACTCACGCATGTCCTGGCCCTCAGTCCTTGCATACTCATTTTGGCCCTCACTCCTCACACACTCATCCCAGTTCTTAGTCCTCACATGCATGCTCACACACTTAGTCCTCACACACTCATCCTGGACCTCAGTCCTCACAAGTGTGTCCTTGTCCTTAGTCCTAGCATACTCATCCTTAGCCCTTGCTCACTTGTCTTTGTCCTCAGCCCTTGAATGTATGCCCTGGTCCTCAGTCCTCACACATTCAACCTGGTCCTTGGTTCTCACGTGCTTGTCATTGTCCTTAGTCATCATATGCTCATCTGTGTCCTTAGTCCTCACACCTCACATGCTCATCCTGGCCCTCAGTCCTCACACCTCAACCTGGTCTTTAATTCTCACACACTTGTCTTTGTCTTCAACCTTTGCTCATTCATCTTTGTCCTCAGCACTTGCATGTGTGCCCTGGTCCTCAGTCCTCACATGTGTGTCTATGTCAGTCCTCACACACGTGTCCTGGTCCCTAGTCCTTGTACATACATCTTGGTCCTCAGTCCTCATACATCCATCCTGGTTCTTAAGCTTCACATGCTCATCTTTATTCATCATATGTTCTTCTGCATCGTTAGTCTTCACATGTGCATCCTGGCCCTCAGTCCCTGCATGCTTGCCCCGGCCCTCGGTCCTCGAACACACATGCCGGTCCTTGGTCCTCACAGGTGCATCCTGGTCCTTTTCCACACATGCTCATACAGACCCTTGGTTCTTACACCCTTGTCCCAGACCTTGGTCCTCGCATACTTATATGGGCCTTCAGTCTTCACACACATCCTGGCCCTTAGTCCTTACATGCTAGTCTTGGCCGAGGACAATCTTTCCCTACATAAAACTATGGGTCCACATTCACTTCTCTATTCAGAAGTCAGGAAGGCTCTAAGTGGACATGTTCACAGCAAAGTCCACAGCACAGCCTGTTATCACACATCCATCTGTCCAGAAACTGCACTATAACCTGGCCTTCAAAGCAACCACAAACAAGACTGTCAAGTGGGTTACAGCACAATATGAGTCTTCAGATGGCTCGGGGATGCACTGTGTGGGACTTCCTCCATGACATCTCCCCAACTCCTCTCCTTCCTAGGGAGCCCCAGTCACATGAGCCAGACACCAGGGAGTTTTCACTGGGTTACTTGACAAATGAGTATTACCAAGAGCAGTCCATGGAACACACAGCCCCTGAGCAGGAAGGCATGAGATATCCACCCAGAATGGCTACCACTGCCCACCCTCAAAACAGAGTCCTCCATGGGCTTTCCTTATGTGGGAGCATCCCAGCTTGGACCCCACAGTGGTGGGACCACAGACTGTATGACGCCTGTCTGGGAGAGATGCACAGCTAGCATTCACCTTGAGGACATGGTACCAGGCAGAGGCACCCCCAGAGTCAATGTGAAAGTCAGTGTAGCTGTCCTTCACACAGATGAGGCAGTACTTAGTCACTTTGGGTTTGGCCAGTAAAGCATCGTCAGGCCAATAGTTCTCTACCCAAGAGAGTTTCTTCACAATGTCAGGAGGCTCGACAAAGCTGGACATCCTAGGGGCAAGGAGAGCACAGTTAGTCCAGTCAGCATCACCATGAGGGAGGCTCTTTAGAGTCCTCCCACTCTTCTCCACATTGGGGACAGAGGGTACTCTGTGTCCAGTTTATATACAATCAGTTGAAGTTCAAAGAGGACAGGGATAAACCAATCACACAAGACTGGGGGCAATGGCAAGTGTCTAATACATGTCTAGGTACAGAGAAAGAAAAAGGAAAAGGTCAAGATACCTGATCTTTAACCGCATTCCCAGAACAAAAACAACTTTTCTTGAAGAGTTAGATAATTGTGGTCCTAGCTGGCCATAATGATACAAGGTGGGGAGTGACTGGTGCACATGGACACAGTCTCCCCTGTACCACACAGGCATGCATCTTGGTTCTCTAAAGCCTGAGAAGACACTTGTCGTACCCCAACACATCCCACGAAAGCCAGAGAGAATGAAAGGGCAGGGGCAGCCTTAGATCCAATTAAAATACACTGCCCAAGATAACCTGCAGAATCCTGCATCTGAGCCACCAAGGCCAGGGGTTTCAGGTAGACAGAACAAGGACACCAGTTATCACTTAAGAACCCATGACCACATGACCATGTCCACTTAGGCAAGGCTAGGCCTGTCCAGGGCCAGGTCCTGGCTGCCTCTTGACCCCAGGCTATCCTTCACAAAGGCTAATGTCCCTGATGGAGCCCTCATCTCTGCCCTTGCTCCTCCTCCTGATGTTCCAACGTATCCTGGAACTGCTGAGGGTCTGGCTTATGGGCTATACCACACAGAAGACCACTGTGCTCTGTCTGGGTCATCCTGGGCTATACCACCCACCTCTACCCATGGACACAGTCCTCAAGGACTGTAATGGCCTCTGACCTCCAGAACCCATCCCCACCTTGTCTAAACTCTACGCAAACCTCATTTGGTCATGACTCACAAACTTCCCACCCCTCCAGTGCTGAGGAGCTGGGAGTAAGGGCAGAAATCAGAAAGACGGTGCTGGGGATGACCTGAGGCAGCAGCAGATGCAAGTGTCTGTCGCTCATGTACTGCAGTCAGATGCCCACAAGGCTTGGACACCAGACTGGTCCCAGAAGGCCTCCTCTGGGACCCAGCCTATCTCCCTAGGCCCAGGAGCTCAGAGCATAAACCCCCTGTGGGACAGGGAGGGAGGTGGAGCACAGAGTTAGGCATTCTCCCTGCAGCCTTGCCCCCATGGTCGCTTACCTGGTGTCAGAGAACTCAAGGTTGGTGACATTGAGGACCCGCTTCCTGTTTGTACTGTAATAATAGTCCACAAATTCCTTCAGCTTCATCTTACAATCCTTCTGCTTGGTCACATCTGTCACATCCACACTCCGTTCTGGACCTGAGAGGCCAGACAAGAGGTGAGCCTTTCCCAGGGAGATGCACGTGGCCCCTCCTCAGGGGCAAATGCAGTGTGCAGACTCATGTTCTTTGTCTCATACACATGCTCACACATACATATTCTCATACACACATGCTCACACACACCACATACACATCACACATACAAACTATATTACATAACATGTTCATACACATGCTCACACACACTCATAATTCACACACGCTCACACATTCTTTCATATACATGCTCACACTCTCATATACACACATGCACATACACAGGCTCACACACTCATATTGTTACATACACACTCACACAAGCACAAATACTCACAGATACACACTCATGCAGTTTCTCTCATACACATTCACATGCACTCTCAACATACATACATACACACACTCACCTACACATGTATGCTCAGATACACATGCATACATTCACACACACACACATACCCTCTCACTTGCATACACATACACACATTCATGCAAAATTTCTCATATACATTCACTCTCACACACACAAATTCATGTCCTCACATATTCACACTCACATGCATATATTATGCCTCATATCCTCCATATCCACACCTTCTGTCATGCATACTCTCACACACATGCACACTCTCACATGGATACTCATGCCCTCATATCCTCACACACGTACTTTTTCACACACACACTTATGACTTGACATCCTCACATATTCACTCCAAGTACTCATGCATACTATACTGTCTCATATACGCAAACATAATCATGCCCTCAGATTCTCATTTACACACTTATACTTTCTCTCAAATACCCATGTAGTCATGCCTTTACATCCTCACATATTCACACACATATTCTCTCTCACACACAAACTCAAATAGACACATATACTCATGCCCTCAAACTCACATTCTCACATGCATATTCTGACACACTCTTATGCTCACACATACTTCCTCATGTATTCACACTCACACACATACTGTCTTACACATGCATCTTCATGCCCTCACATCCACACACACTCCCATGTATATTCATGCCCTTGCATGCTCACATATTCACACATACTCGCATGTATACTCATGCCCTCACATCCACATATTCATACATACTCCCACATATACTCATGCCCTCAGTTATAACACATTCCATGTCTACTAATGCCCTCACATATTCATAAGCATTCCCACATATGCCTTCATATCATCACATATTCATTCTCATATACTCATGCCCTCACATCCTCACATATTTAAACACACTCCCACGTATACTCATATGCTCACATATTCACACATACTTTGATGTATACTCAAGCCCTCACATCCTCATATATTCATATATTCACACACTCACACATATATACTCATCCCCTCACATCCTCACATATTCTACACACTCCCACATATACTCATGCCCTCACATTCTCATATATTCACACACACTCGTACGTATACTCAAGCCCTCACATCTTCATAGTCACACTGCCATGCACACACATACATGTGCACATGCACATAGCACATGGCTCACTGGCACTCTTACACACTCATGCTCACACACTGTCACTTGCCCTCTGCAGTACACCATGGCTGTACTGCTGAGGAAAAGGCTGGAACTCTGAGGCTCTATTTTCTAACTCTACTCGCTGATGTTCCCATGCTTAGTGAGGTCCCTGTATTGTCCTTCCTTGGATGGTCCTGAGAACAACCTGGGACACAGCACAAGGTGGAGATTAATGGGAGGTAGCCAGTTTCACAGATGAATATATAGGTCTCTCAGTTATATGTGAATTACAGATAAACAAAGAGTAATCTTTCTTGTGTAAGTATGTCCAGAAATCTCTGGATAACAAAATAAATACTAAGAGGAGCTTGTTAGAAGACTGAGTTGATAAAGGAAAGAAGTGATAGAACATTCCTTTTGCATAAATTCCCAGTAGGTGGTCAGACTGTCAGGGAGAAGGCTTATGGGAAGTAGTGTCTGTAAATGAGGCTAGAACAGTCCAGCAGGAGACCAGGAGGAACAGGGCCTGAGAGGCAGGGACCATGGGCCTGCCTCAAGATGAACTAGACACAGTCTCCATCTGACTACAGGGACAGAGAAGTACATTAAATGACAAGGCAACTGTCACCAAATAAAAAATGTAAGCATTCTACAAGTCCACCAACACTGCTTCTTCAACAAGCATACAGAATGAAGCAGTGACGCCAAAGACTTACATATGGAGGCACAACAATCAAACGCAATGTGTGAGTCTTCTTTGAATTCTTATTCAAACAGTCAGGTGTAAAAAGATATTTGAGGCCACTAGGGAGAACTAAACTGGATCTTAGATGAGATTAAGGAATTAGCACTTACATTGTGGAGTGTGATGGTAGTGTTGTGAGCAAGTTTTTGAAAAGCCACTTGCTGGAGGTTTGTCCTAAATGTTTTAGTGGGGGGCTGATGTGCCGAGCAGAGGCCAGCTTTAAAACAACGCAGGAGAAAGAGTGCTGTAGTACGAGGCAGAAACCTCAGCATGTGGGGATGCTGAGCTTGGCAGGGTTCATGGTTCCTGTGGTCCTCCAAGGAGGAAATTCCCCATGACTTTACAGATATACACATAAAATATAATGACAAAGAGATTTCTTTAAAAACAAAAAGCAAGCAACAGCACCCTCATAGGGTATTTTAGGGCAAAAACACTATTCTGTATGATACTGTTCTAGGACAGGACATTAGTACTTGTTCAAAGTCACCCAACATTCAGCAGCAGAGTGAATCTGAGTGAGCCACACACTTTCACATATAACATATATCACTGTTGGCCCATCACTCTGAACTAATGCATGCAGAAAGGTAAGATGTTCACAAGAGATAAAGCCATGGGACTTTTCTGTAAATGTAAAATTGCTCTAAACCAAAATCGATTAAAGAGAAAATAAAGCCATAGAAGTCTGAAGTCATCTCTACCAGTAGAGATTTTTCCTCCTGCATTCAGCTCTGGGCAGGGGCAGAGAATAGGTTACTTCAGCTGTGCAAGCCACACCTGTCAACATGGTCCTGTCGGAAACATTATGTCAGTGAAACCATGCCAGCAAGGAGGAGATCCTCAACCTAATCACTCCTGAGGTATAAAAGTGATACACACCCCAGAAAGAGAGGAAGGGTGGTGGTAGGGACCAAGGTAGCTACAAGCACAGCAGGCAGCTCAGGCACCCCTGATTTACAACTGTGTTCAAGTTACATTCAACCTTCATTAAGGCTTTAGTGATATGTGCTGCAAAGGTCATTTGCTGATATTATCTCTTGGGTATTCATTTACAGATGTTCAAAAGTTTTATTTATACTGATATTGATAATAAAGGTCAATAACAATAAAAACAAAAAGAGGTGTCCAGCTTGAGTTAGAACCAGCCTATGACAGTCTTTAGAATAGAGTCTATAGTGAGTCATGGAATCTGTGCTAAAAACTGATAAAGTGATGCCAGATCCTGACTCCAACTGTAGAACTTGTGTTCAACAGTGCTAGATAACAGACTCTGAAGTTTACAAATGCCCAGGGCCAAGCACTCGCATTGCAGGGAGCAGCCTTGGGGGCTGGCCTGAGCACCATCTTTTCTGGATTTTTCCTTCTCTTTGCAAGCACCTAGGGTCTCAGCAGCACTGAAAGCCTCAAGCTAGACTAGCTGGCTACTGGTCACTCTTGGCAGGCTCAGCTGGGGACAGCCAGGCCTCAGGCTGGCTGCAGGACTAATGTTCAGATAGGTATTTCCCACTTATGGGCCTTCCTGGCATGGCAACACTATACAAGTCCAACTATGGTGGACTCTAGGGAGTTCTGCTGACCTAGTGGTAAGAAGCTGCCCTGTAATCCCAAAGGCATGATGTTTGAATCCACCAGCTGCTCCACAGGAGAAAGATGGGCAATCTCCTCCTGTGTAATTAATTGTCTCTGAACAACTTGTCAGAGGGCCAGCAATGAGTTGGTTCCACAACAACAACAACAACAACAGTGGGCTCTAGCAGAAACACCAAATCCTGGAGTCCCAAGATCAACCCCTGGCTATGCAGCCAGAAAAACTGAAGGGGCGGCAGTGTCACACATGACTCCTGTGTCTAAGAAGCTGAGAATCTCACACAAAATACAAGCCTCAACCAACTGCACTCCCCTTAACACCGGCAAGGACCCTGTGATCCCATGCAAATCTGGTACACCCTGGGATGCATGGGCATGGGATCTGAACATCCACCCACATGAATCCAAACCACTCAACCCAGGAAGAACACTTACCCACATAGTTCTCCACATCACTGACATAGAAAGTAGGGGCTGGTACAGCCAGGCCCAGTCCATCCTTCTTGGGAACAAGGATGGGCTCAGTGAAGCCATGCTCCTCCATGTAGCCCAGCGTGAGCTGGTTGCCAGGCACACGGACAACCACATCCTCTGAACTGCAGGAGGAGTACACGTTAGAGCAACAGTCACACTAGTTCACAGACCATAACCAAGTATTCTCACCAGTCAGGCAGGGACGTGGAGGCAGACAGGCAGGGATTACAGGCACCAGCACTACTCTCTTGCCTACCGTTGCCCACACATTCCAGGTTCATTCAAGGGCTTTAGAAAGCCAGGCTAAGTGGACTGGGACCACAGTTCAAATATGCTCTAACACTAGGGCTCTGCAGCTGGGACTGAAAGGGAGTCGAGTGGGGAAGAGGGACTAGAGACACCTGGCCCAACAAACTCAAGATCTAGGAAGATGTGGTAACTGACTAGGATCCACAGAGACAGGGACAGAGGGAAACTCAGGTACAGTTCTCTATGGCACAGAGATAGGAAGACATAAAGCAGTTGTCAAGGTGGAGAGACATAAAAGACGGAAGAGACAAAAGACGGCAAGAGAGAGAGACAGGGAGAGAAAGACAGAGACAGAGAGACAAACACAGAGGCATGAAGGCAGAGAAAAAAAGAAATGGAGAGATGGGAAAACAGAGATAGAGAGAGACAAGGGAATAGACACCAAGAGAGGCAAGAGTGACAGTTGCTGTTGTTGTTATGTGCTGTCGAGTCACTTGTAACTCATAGCGACCCTATGTACAACAGCCCTAAACCCTGCTCTATCCTGTGCCAATCGCACTGCCTCTGACACACCCATCCTGATTACCCCGGTCACTGAATCAATCCACCTTATAGAGGGTCTTCGCCTCTTGCACAGACCCTCCACACTCCCAACCATGATGTCCCTCTCCAAGGACCTCTCCCTCCTTACAACATGTCCAAAGTATGTCAGACGAAGCCTCAGAATCCTTGCCTCCAAGGAGCAGTCTGGTTTAACCCTCTCCAGGGTGAATGTTTGTTTTCGTGGCAGTCCAGGGTACATTCAATACTCTTCTCCAGAACCACAGCTCTAAGGCATCAATTCTTCTATCCTCCTTAGTCATTGTCCAACTCTCAGTACCCTGGAGAGGTCCCTAACAGCAGACTTTCCCATAGCAATACGTTTTTTTTTTTATTTACTGGCTACTGGTGCCAAGAGTTTTGACCGTGGAGCCAAGCAGACTAAAGCTGTTAACAATCTCAATCTTTTCACCATCCATCCTAACGTTACCAATTGGTCCAGTGGTGAGAATCTTTATCTTCTTGACATTGAGCCTCAATCCATACTGGAGACTGCAGTCCTTGACTCTCTGCAGCAAGCACTTCAGGTCCTCCTCAGTTTCAGCAAGCAGGGTTGTGTCATCTGCATAACGCAGACTGTTACTAGATCTTCCACCAATCCTGACACCACACTTCTCCTCATAGAACCCAGCCTCTCGGATAATCTGTTCTGCATACAGGTTGAAAAGGTATGGAGATAGGACACATCCCTGGCGTACACCTTTCCCAATTCTGAAGCATGCAGTGTTTCCCTGCTCTGTTCTGATGACTGCCTCTTGGTCCAAGTATAGGTTTCTCCTTAGCACGACCAAGTGTTCTGGGATACCCATTCTTGTCAGAGTAAGCCACAGTTTGTTATGATCCACACAGTCAAATGCCTTTGCATAATCAATCAAACACAGATAGACATTCTTCTGGTATTCCCTGTTTTCAGCTAAGATCCATCTAACATCAGCTACAATATCCCTTGTACCACAACCCCTTCTAAACCCAGCCTGGACTTCTGGCAATTCTCTGCTGATGTGCAGTTCCAGTCGTTTTTTTATAATCTTCAGTAGAATCTTGCTTGTGTGTGAAATCAATGATACTGTTCTATAGTTTCCACACTCTGTTGGGTCACCCTTCTTTGGGATGGGAACAAATATAGATCTCTTCCAGTCAGTTGGCCAAGTGGTTGTTCTCCAGATTTCTTGGCATAACTTGGGGAGCACATCCAGGGCTGCATCTGTTAGCTGAACTATGTCAACTGGTATACCATCTGTTCCTGGGCCTTATTTTTTGCTATTTCCTTCAAAGCAGTTTGAACTTCTTCCTTCATCACCATAGGTTCTTGCTCATATGTTATTTCATTAAATTCTTCTGTGTCTGTCAATTCTTTTTAATACAGTGACTTGGTATATTCTTTCCATCTTCTTTTAATACTTCCTGGATTATCTAATATTCTGCCTAAAGCATCCTTGATTATAACAACTCGAGGTTTGAATTTGTTCTTTAGTTCCTTGAGCTTAAGATATGCTGAGCGAGTTCGGCTTTTTTATTTTCCCACTCCAGTTCCTTACACATTTCATTGTAATATTTTGCTTTGTCATCCTGTGCTGCCTTTTGGAATCTTCTGTTCAGCTCTTTAGTGTCTTGAATTCTTCCTTGTGCTTTGGCTTCTCTGCACGCCAGTACAATCTTCAGAGTTTCTTCTGACATCCATTTTGGTCTTTTTTTTTCTCTTCTGTTTTGGTAATGACCATCTGCACTCTTCCTGGATGATACATTTGGCATCCTCCCACAACTCATTAGGTCTTCGCTCATTAGTGTTCAAGGCCTCAAACCTGTTTCTGAGATGGTTCTGAAATTCAGGTGGGATGAACTCAAAGTCATATTTTGGTTCCCATGGATTCAGTTTAATTTTCCTCAGCTTCAGCTTGAACTTACATATGAGTAGTTGGTGGTCTGTTCCACAATCAGCTCCTGGCCTAGTTTTGACAGTCGATATTGAGCTTCTCCAGCGGTTTGGTTTATTGTTTGTTTTTTTACAATCATTACCACTAAACTTAAGAGACATTGACCCCAGCACAAGAAATTGTCAGCAGCTGACATGTTTGGAATCACAGAAGCCAAGAAAGTTTCAGATATAAGCTTTCAGATCAAGGGTTGGACAATGGAAGATAAATGCTGAAGGGATTCAGTAGAAGTGAAGGGGTATCCTGGTGGAGGGTGGAGCTGGCAAATATGTAGGTCAAGACACTGGGCCAAGGACAGGGACAACATTGTAACTAATGGTTATCTCCACAATGAGGGATTTATCTTTCACTGTACTATAAATTGCTTGTCAGATACTCCTCTAAATCTTAACATTCCGATTAAGACAGACGAGGAAAAAGGATTGGCCATACACTTCTGAAATAGCAGGCCCCTGAAAACCCTATGTAAAACAGAATATAAGCAGACTAACAGAGAGGGCAAATGAGGTAAGAACTTTCAAGTATGGAAATAGAAAGGAAGAGGAACAGTTGTAAGCAGACACTGGTGATTGGAACATGGAATATGAGAACCATGAATGTAGGAAAATTAGATATTGTTAAGAAAGAAATGGAATGCATAAATATTGACATAGTAGACATTGAAGAGATGAGATGGACCGGCATAGGGCATTTTGAGTCAGATGATCATATGATATATTACTCCGGAGATGAAAAGGCGAGAATAAATGGAGTTGCTTTCATAGTTAAAAAAGTAATTTCTAGATCCATCTTGAAGTACAACATTGTGAGTGACAGGATACTATCCATACACTTATAAGGAAGTCTAGTGAATACCACTATCATTCAGATATATGCACCAACAACCAGAGCCAAAGAAGAATAGATAGATTATTTCTACCAACTTTTACAGTCAGAGAACAATCGAACATGCAATCAAGATGCATTGATAGTAATGAGTGACTGTAATGCAACAGTTAGGAACAGAGAAGAAGAATCAGTAGTTGGAAAACATAGACTTGATGACAGATATTAAGCTGGAGATAGAATGATTGAATTTTGCACAATCAATGACTTATTCATTACAAATACATTTTATAAGAAACATAAACGCAAGTTATACACATGGATTTCACCTAATGGTATGCATAGGAATCAGATTGATTACATCTGTGGGAAAAAATGCTGGAGCAGCTCAATATCAAGAGTGACAGAGGAGACACAAAAACAGAGAGCTACAGGGGGAGACAAAGAGATAGGGAGATAGAGAGATGTCTCTCACCATTTGGCTGGCCCTCTCCAGCACCAACTTAATGACACAACTCAGACATGTCCTAGATGAAAGCTACATCCAGAAAGCGAGGGAACAGTCGATATGAACAACTCCTTTGAAATTCATAAAGATCACTGCAACAATGGAGGACTGATTCTTCTGGCTAAAGAAAACATTGTAAGAAGAGTCGCCATATGAGAAAAACCATTAATCAGTATCCAATCATTTCAGGAGGTAGAATATGATCAAGAACCGGTGGTGCTCAAGGAAGCCTAAACTGCATTGAAGGCACTGGCAAAAAGAAGTCTCTAGGAATTGTCAGAAAACCAGCTGAAATTTTTCAACAAATGGATGCAAGGCTGAAGGTGCTCATTCATCTGTGCCAAGAAATCTAAAAGGTAGTGAGTAGGCTAAATGACAAAGAGATCCATGTTTGTGCCATTCCAAAGAAAGGTAATCCAACAGAATACAGAAATGATCAAACATTATTAACTTCATATGGAAGTAAAATTTTTCTGAAGATAATGCGAAAACTATTGCAGCAGTACATGGCAAGAAACTGTCAGAAATTTAAGCCAGACTGAGAAGAGGATATGGAATGAGGTACATCACTGCTGATATCAGATGGCTCTTGGCTAAAAACAGAGGACACCAGAGAAATGTTTACTTGTGTCTTACTAATCAAGGCGTTCAGTTGTGTGGACTGTAGCAAATTATGGATAATATTGTTAAGAATGTAAATATTAGAACACTTAACTATGCTCATGAGGAACCTGTACATGGAGCAATAACAGATTCAGCGTGGCTTAAAATCAAGAAAAGTATGTAGCAGGGTTATATGCTTTTACCATACTTACTCAATCTGTATTACAAGTAAATAATCCAAGAAACTGGACTATATGAAGACGAAAATGGCCTTATGAAAGTAATAAACCAGATCAACCTGGGAAGAATTGGCAAAAGGACAACATGGCTATTGTGATTATCAAATAGGAAGAGGATGTGTACTGCTGTTCAAAAGGGAAAAAGGAGAAGGAGGCTTGGCAGG